TTTGCAGGGAACTAGGAGAGGTCTGCAAGGAGATGCAGAAGACATCAGACCTCTCAACAGACCCAGGGAATTGTGACATTTATATATTTTACCTATCTAGGAAGGGGGAAGAAAGAAAAATACTAACCTCTTCGGCTAGACAATCATCGGGATCATAGTCTCTCATGTTAATGATTTCTGCAGGCAAATTAAGGGAGAGAATAGCTTCAGCAAGAATTGTTGCAAATCCCTGGAGAGAGAGAGAGACATAGAAAGGCTTTATCTGCAATAACCCAATCGAAAGAAGAGTCAAACAAATTCATGAGAGGGTGATAGAAACTCACAAACCTTGTAACAAGAAGCTGATATTTCATATGGCTATCATGTACAGAAACAGAACAAAGATACCTATAAAACACACATTCTTTTTTTTAAAGTGAAGTGCATTTTGTTTTGGAAAAAGTGAGTATTTCTACAGACACACAAAAAATCACTCCACTTTAATCAGTTTTTGTCTTTGACAGAGAAACATTATAAAGCAGCATCTTTCCACACAAGAGGAGTTTAAAGTGACACCAAAAGATTAATAGAGTATATTTTAAAGAGTTGATGTAATAATCCCTTAGATTTTTAAAGATGAATAATTCTTTAAAATCTAATTTCCTCTTCACTTTTTTATTTTATTGGACAACAAAAACCTAGTCAATTTCACTTTCGGGTTCTTGAACCATGCACTGTTTGCAAGCCAAAGTTACACTTCAATAACATTTTGAATTAACTTTGTCCAAGTAGAATAAAATGACTTACCTTAGCAGTGCCAGTCTGAGAGCCATAGAAAACCTTCACCCCAGCAACATAAACCTCCTTCGTCTTTGGCATTGTATATCCATTTATTAGCACATCTTGTGTTACTTTAGATGGAGTTAGCTTCTCGGTGGATTTTTCATCCTACAAAACAATTGTAGTATCCCAATCTTACCCCTTTCAAACTCATCTTAAGCTAGTTTTCACATAAAACGCAAACCACCTAGTCAGATCTTCAGCATGGTTGGTGAGCTCTAGCAAATGTAACAGCGATAAGTTTTAGAGTTACCACTGGCCCATAAAAACAATCAAACTAGCATCCTCTCATTTAAATAAGCCTTGTTACTGTAATCTGATCTCACACTATAGGGTGTGACTTGATCACAGCAGGTGTCTGAAGACATGCCTTCCTCCCATCCCACATATCTACACACTTCACCCACATACACAACTGAATATTTTATGAGGGAGTTTTTACCCTCTTGACAGGCGTAATCCTGCTCCTAGTGAAATCATGGAACTTTTATCATTAACTTCAATGGGAACAGGACTTGCTTCTCAAATATCAGGTGCAAGCAGCTGGCAGAGACAGGATTTGAAAAAGTGCTGGCCCAGTCCAGAATGGCAAATCTTCTTCACATAATAAACAGAGGTGATTATGTGAGATCAGTTCACACGTCGCTTACAAGGCAGTAAAATATTCAACAGGTATGCTTTTGTTATATTTCTAACACACGTCAAGTACTATGATTTTCGAGGATGCCAAACCACATTTAAACTTTAAGAAGTTAGAACTTGCACATGGCCTAGAGTGGACTACACTGAAATGAAATGCCACACTCCCACACTAAAGGAGGATACATTTCAGTAGTGGGTTAAAGGATTACTGTTGTATACTCCCAGTTGAAAGAATATAAATGCTAGAATTGTGAGTCTCACTTACCTGCTTTTTGGCTTTGGTGGCAATGAACTGAAAGCAAATCCAAATACCGATGCCAAAAGCCGCACAAGAGTAGATGTAAAACCTGTTTAGCCATATGGACATCAGATGAGTGTAGAAGTAGCCCCAAGTATCCACCGATGCATCTAAAATGAGAATAAATCATGTGTAGCAGCAGAAACAGCATCCCTCCAATTTTGCTACCAGCAGCAGTTTTCCCGTTATGCTAATATGGCCTTTCTAGCTACCCGTCAGAACTTGCTACCACCCAGTCCATGGGTAGCGAATTCAGAGGGATGGGGCTTTACCTTTACCTTTTTGCCAATTTGCTTCCTCCTTGCTAATTTGCAATTGATGTATTTGATTATTGAGGTGTGCGGTCTCATTTTGTGCGTGAGTATGTGTAAAGGGAGGTGAGACTTGGGGGTACAGAGCACAGACATGAGCCCAAGTTGATACCACACACCAGCCCATCCTTCCCTAGCATTTCAATCAGAATGAGGAGTCACTGAGATAGCAGTTTGTAACCAGAGCCAATTCTACAAGCAGCTGCCTTCAGGGCCAGCTATACAGCAATTAGTTCTGTCAGAGGCCAGAGTTGTAGTACAGACAATGCTGAAGACAACAAAATGTTTGTGACAATGACTGTGAGTAGCAGATGTTTTCCAATATTCTTGAAGCAGCAAAAACCCAAAGAGCTTGTTTAGATAGAAATTTGCACCAGTGTCACTACACAGATGTAATCACACAGCTGCAAATTGCCTCAATCTAAACAAGCCCTTTAGAATCAGCTTAGTTAATAAAGTAGTTTTCAAGGTCCACAACCAAGCCATGAGCACGAGGCAAATAAAAGCTTAGCTTAGCCTTCCTTGCAACAAAAATGCCTTTTTGGTAAAAGGGATATCTAAAAAAAACATAAGTGTTCCTAGAAGTCTGGAGACCTGGGTACTAACCCCTGCTCTACGAGTGGCTTGGTATTTCATCTGTAACAAGTCTTCTTCTCAACCTCTCTGGTCTCATTCCCCCTCTTTGTAAAATGGGGAGAAAGGCCAAAGAGCATAACCCTTCAAACAAAAAGGTTTATTAGAAGCTCAGCTTTGAGTACAAATAATCCTCTGGGTGGAGGTTTTATTGCAACAGTTTCTAATTCAATTCCACCTAAAAGCAATCTGGCTAAAATCTCTAATTACCTTCATCCCATGCAGCAAACTCATAACCCCAAAGATAGCCTCTCCCGTTCCTCACTGCTCCCAATCCCACACACCTTCCCTTTGTGGAGTTTAGATACATTCAGCTGCCTGTAATTAACACCCTTGAACCCTGGCTGGAAATTAACACCCAAAAGCCAACATTAGCTGGCTCAGAGGTGCTTCCCCAGGGGCACCACTGGAGAAAGGCACAGCAGTAATTCAGGGTTACCTTTATATTATTGTTTCCTACATTTCTCTGATACTAACAGATTTCACTCTGGGTGTTTCCAACAGAGACATGTTCCAATCTCATTTCTATTTGTAAAGCCAACCTGCACTAGAGTGGTCCCAGCAGCCCTAAAGTTTCAAGATATTGGTCACAGGGGTCACCCCTTCCAGGCTTGGCACTAATTTGACTCCTTTTTAAAAGAGTATGCAACTGAGTGTGTGTTGCACGCAGACCTAACAGTAGCAAGCAAGTGAGCCCGTTCCCACCTTGCTGGGAGCAGCAGGACAACAGGTTATTCCTGATGTGTTATGGTTAAATCAGTGTCGTTTCAGCTTAATAGGCGATATATCCTCTGTCAAGGCACTAGCTACAACGATCCCCTAAAAATCATCAGGCCTCTCCACACAATAGTACTTACCCATGGCATGAGTGTCAGCACAAGCAGCCAGGATAGTTAGGACCTGAAACACCAGCCAAAAATTCAGCATTCCAGAGCGTGATGTGGCAATTTGCAGCTACCCTTCTACGTTTTAGGTAACAAACTTAACTAGGACAGAGAGATCCCCACGAGCTCCTGGGAGCAGCCATGCTGTTTGCAGAGGGATGCTGGGAGTCTGGGCGTTTGTTTTTTCCCCTTCCTCCCCACTTCACTTTATAGATTGCTACTGATGAAAAGGAAGCTTTACAGAGCTCAGGGCTGGTGTGGCAGTGTTTTCTTCCTCGTGCCTAGAAAACAAAAACACACGCGATCACAAACACTCTAAACATTTACAATCATAGAAAAACAAACAATCTCTCAGACGCAAAAACATCAGATAGGCAGTGCAACTTCACCGGGCTAAAGAAATGGGATACTAACCTAATGCAGCAAAGACAATCACGGGAGGGGGGGGAGCGCCCGATCCTACACATACACCCCACACGCCATCGCATAGAAACAGAATACCACGAACACAGTCACAGAAACACACCGAAGCTCGGAGCGACAGGCAGAACCTCAGCCCGCCAGGGAAACACACGCTACAAAAACACACAGAGTCAAGCCCCTCTCAGCCCCTTCGGGAGTCCAGTCACCCACGCCAGCCGACCCTCTGGAGCATGTCACTGTGGTGGATGAACCCCACCCGGAAGCCATTTGCATCCATGCCCCGGAGAAGGGAGACACACGGCCAGGAAGACACAGGGATGGGCGCGTGGGTTTGGCAGTAAAACTGCGCGGAGCGTGTGAGCTCCTCCGGCGGGGACGGCCTCGGGCTCCTCCACAGCACCCTGCCCGGTGACAGGGCTCCGTGCATAGCCCGATTGCGATGCGCTAATACCCCCTCGCGCACCCATAGTCATGAATACTCCTGGGGGGTCTGGTACGCGGCTCAGGGGCTGGCCCGGTGTCCTGCCCCCTAGGGACGTGGGGCTGGGGGCAGGCACAGGCGTGTTTCTCTCTGGGCGGCCCCCCCGGTGCCCACAAGCCAGGGGGACCGTGCACGGGGCGGGGGGGGGGATTTGCCGCCCACTCACATCGGCTCAGGGCCCTGCTTTCAAACCGCCCCTCTCCCGGGGGGCCAGGTCAGCCCCCCACGCAGGGTGCCACGGCGCTGGGGGAGCCCCGAGCCCGGGTGCCGAGGCCTGGCGCCCTCCCCCCGGGAAGCCTGGGCCCCTGCGAGGGGGAACTGACCCCACGCGCGAGGAGAAGTAGCGCGCGCACACCCCCACCGCGCGCGCGCGCTCTTCTCCCTCTGTGGCCGCTGCCCCGGAACCCGTGATTCCCGGGCCTCGTTTCCCCGCCCGGACGCCTTTCGGCGGCCCCCCGAGCCGCCTGTTTCCGGAGTTGCGCTGACGTCACAGGAGGAGGAGGCGGCTAATAGCCGTGGCGCAGCGCTGCTTGTTGACAGACGTCTCAGCCGCCTGACGGGCCCCGGACTCCCTGCACCGCCGCCATGTCCATCTTCACCCCCACCAACCAGATCCGCCTCACCAACGTGGCCGTGGTGCGCACCCGGCGCGCCGGGAAGCGCTTCGAGATCGCCTGCTACCGCAACAAAGTCATGGGCTGGCGGAGCGGGGCGTGAGTACAGGCCGGGGCCGGGCTGGGGGGCGGTAAGGGGCTGGGGAGAGGGCGGGC